TCGAGAACGCCCATATGAGCGTGAGTCTTGAGAACACCCACAGGATCATGATTCACGAGAACGCTCATACGAGCCTGCCTCTCGTGTAGACATCATCCATCTACACAGATTTGAGGGGGATAAATTGGAGGGCTGAGTAGCCACTCGAAGGCAATCGAGAAGCAGTCGAGAGAGAAGTGAGAAGAGAGAGAGAGAGAGAGAGAGAGAGAGAGAGAGAGAGAGAGAGAGAGAGAGAGAGAGAAGAAAGCGAGAGTCAGAGACCAAGTCAGGGTCCGTGGTATCTCTCGCGAGTCTAACAGACAAGAATACCGTACGACTATCAGGCATTTAGGTCTGAGTGAGTGTCGAGGTTGCGGTACTTGTCGAAGGTATGGTCCCGCTGGCAAAGTAAGTCCAGGGGACGGAAGGCTCCAGTAGTACCTGTCTGGGTGGCGACGTAGTGAAACGTAGGAGGACCACTACTGAAACAGAACACGGGGGGGGGGGGGGGTGATGCCGACGAGAGCTGTGTGCTAGAGGGGACTTACGGTAGAAGTCCTGTCGGTCATCTAGCTCTGCGACAAGCTGACGACAGCTGTGTGTTTTCTGAGTACGGCAAGTGAAGTCCGTCTCCAGTCAGCCGTGTTATATGCTGAAATAATATCAAGGTCCAGGGAATGGAAGAATTCGTCCTGTTCAGCTGTACGGCGCGCCCGTAGTGTGGGACGCTGTAGTCCTTGGAGCTGTAGTAGTCAAGGAGAGGCCGCTACAAATTGAAAGAGAGCGAGCGAATGAGGACAAATGGACGATGTGCGAATGTCAACTGTGATCAATAACTACGTCTCTGCATTTGTGTCATGTATCCTGTTAAATAAAATGTATGACGCTGTCATCATCGTCGAGTTCTATTTCTAAGAGAGAAAGCTGAAGGGTACCTGCTAGACATTTGGTAGTGTGCTGACTAGGGGTAACTCATTTAGCACACAACAATGATGATAATTCAGAAACCGTGTTATAGAAGCAGCTAGATGAATGCCTATCAGACTAAAGGTCTTGGATTCGAATCCTCCATGGAATGGATATTTTTTTTAATGACCCAGTCTGCTAGGTTGAGTTCGCTGAGGGCAAAGGCAATCGGTGTCATGTGTAAACCAGTTACTCTGAGCATCACTGCTCAAGTAAGTGAATAATAATTTAACTGTTTCCTTGTACGGCTCTGTGGCTTAAATCAGATGTCAGGGGCTGCGGCTAACCATTTCCTGAAGTACTAGTATTTAATGATTAAAAAACCCCTAGTGGTTTGTGGACAGCTGTACGAGAGTCACACCCAGGAAGAGACTGGAGCGCCACCCCGGAATATTTCAAAAAGCAAAAGTGGTACACTGAAGCCAACCGTCATTGTGCAGGATTTTTCGTTATTTTTAAAATACATTAAAAGTTATACGCTAGGATGTTCAGTTTAGGTTTTAGACCCAGATTTAACCCAGAAGTGAACAAGGGGCCATAAGGTAGGCGACATAGATCAAAATTAGTATCCATGTTTAGCTTGTTCTTTAATTCAGAATGAGGTACATTAAACGAACTCAGGACCAGCTCCGCTCAGCTACAAACTTATGATTGACGGGGTGGGGCCAGGACACTGTGACTGGATGTTCATTCATGTGTGTTAACCTTTGAGAAGCGTAAGTTTAAGTTGCAGGGATGTCAGGTTGGTACGACGTTGTATTGTCTCGACTGTCTTACCAGCGACCACGCGTGCTCTATGTTATGTAATGTGAGCGGTTTTAACGACCCCATAATATGTACATCTGGTCCTAACCTAACCCCTTACCCCACACTGTGAACCTAGGTCCAGCGAGAGAGTGCATTCTACACCCCTCTACGGTAGACTAGCTTGATGAATCATCATTGACAGGTCAGCTAATATGTAGGTGGGTGGAACCGGACCTGAGTTTGTATAAGTTCCCAGAATGATCTCCTGTGTGTGAAGGCATGAGCCATAGACGTAGGAAGGGGCTTGTGGAGGGTGCGAGACGCACTTAGTGACATCATTGAGGCGAAAAAAGAGCACAAATGTATGTTGTTAAGGGAAACAAATGTTTGTGAGTGTCTTTGTCCTGTGTGTGCGCGCGCGTGGTGTGTGCTCGCGTGTTTATGTGTGTAGGAGTATAAAAACAACAACAAAAGTCTGGACCGCTTACCACCTGACCTTGCAATGTCACTGGGTGGAGTCTGTAAGGTGTGAACGCCGGCTATAATGGGTTTTAGCTAGATAGAGAGTTGTTTATTTTGTGTAGCTAAACACTTCCATCTGTTGTTTACTGTAGTAGACTATTATCGTCCCATTTGTATGTGTATTCGCTAGCAAAGGTTGATCTCCCCTGCTGCTATCCAGGTGTTACAGCGATATTAGATGTTTCGCCTGACTGATTGACGTTTATCCCCACCAGGACCGCACAAAGAGTGATAAATACACAGTTGATTTGATTTGATTCAAGAACCGATATCACAGCACTCGGGGCATTCCCATAAGCGCTCCGTCCCATCTTCAGCAGCCAGCGAAGAGTTCCGAAACTAATGGTGCCAGTAGCATTCTGATTAAACGTCCGTCTTGCCTTTCCTCTGAGCCTCGAGCATCAGCCAGAACTTCTCGTCACTCCCCGCTGCATCAATCTCATTAGACTGTGGTGATCCATCTGCACCTCCGAACTATACCCGCTCTCCCACAAGGCACTAACCACGTCTGTATTATCATGCATCAATATTCCACCAAGTTGTGCAGAGCCAGCCAGTCTATCCGCCTGTTCATTTCCCAACACACTGGCGTGCCCTGGTGACAAAATCCAGACAATACTCCTCACCCGTGTCCTCTGCACCGAAGCATGCCACTCTGCGCGAAGCATGCCTGTCCCGACCTCCCTCAGCATGCTTTCTGAGTCAGTTACAATAACGATGTGTGTGTCGTGTTCTCTAGCCAGCGGAAAGCTGCAGTGACCGCTTCACCTCCATTCTTAAGCTGGATGTTGTGGTATCATATGTTAGGCTCTCCTGCACCAAACGTCGACCATTAACTTTTGCTAAGAAGCCCCAAGCACTTCTTTTGCCTCTTGGCACTGAACCGTCTGTGTAAATGATAAAATCCTCTGAGCGAGCATTATCTTGAATTAATTGCTGAATTCCCATCTCCGTGGCACATGCTGGCCAGTCTCTGCATTCCCGGCTCAGTGTGATTACGACCCTACTCAGGTCTGACTGTTCAGGTGGTACTTTAACTCAATCCTCTCCTCGCCTAATGTTCTCAAGGATGCAAACCTGTCTGATTGTGTCTTCTGCCTGAGCCATCCATGACTTCCCTCTTATTAGCCGCTGACCCTTAACTGCACCCAGAGCTTCATGCAAAGGGTGGTCTGTGTCTGCAGCTACCCTGAGATATGACTTCCCCTGCAGTACCTTGTGCCTACCTGCAACAGTCGGAAAAATAAGGTTGTATCGCATACACACCACTGGGGTGTCTCTGGTGCAACCAGAATGACCCGCATAGCTGCGTTTTGTATGCTCTCAAGTGTTTCCAACTGACTCTTTAAGACGGTAAGCAGTCCCAGGCCATAATTAAAGGACAGGTTACAAGGTTAGTTGCGTATCCTTTACAGGACGTTGCAAAAACAATGTGTGGTTTTTCTAGGCAAATGTACGTCTAGTAGTTTGTCATTGCTTTCTGGACGGTCGGCTTTCTTCATACCACTGTCGAAACCAACGCAAGGCGCATGGCCCGCAGCTGGGATCGAACCCGGCATCACGGCATTACGAAGAGTTCGCATCGACTTAGCCACAGAGCCGACATAAAGGACAGGCTCCTGTCAAATGTAATACCCATATACTTCAGTTTGCTCTCTCTGCTGACGTTTCTACCATCTATCGTGAGACTTGGGACATAAGTTTTAACGATTCTGTTGTCTAGAGAAAACTACAAAACAGACGCCTTTTCCGTGTGGACGACAGCCCAAATTTCTGTACACCACTCAGTCACTTTGTCTAGTGTCGCTTGTAGCTCCCGGGCTGTTTGTTCCCTCTCTTCCCCCTGCCTATATGCAATTATATCATCCGCAAAAGTCAGTATTCTTCCAACTCCTGGTGCTTCTAGGCTTGCGATCTTGCTCTAATACACGCTAAAGAGCACAGGTGATAAATACACGGTGACTAAAAGTGCCACATTCGGGTTGAGAATCACACCGGTACAAGTCCCAGAAACCCCGTTAGACTGTTAGGTTATATTAGGGCCCCTGACTACGGCTGGGATGGGGCTTTATAATAATGAAAAATTGCGAGTCCACCTGTCTGTGGTGAATACGTTGCCTGTGTGCAGTGTTGCAGTTATGATTAGTCTTATTTGGTAAATACAGACTTGTCGAATAGTATCCTTTTATTCCATTCGTTGGTTGAATACTCAGAGAATAACATCTGTAGCTGTGAAAATATCCTTTCAAGATGTTGCATCTATTGTTGTTGTTATTGTTATTGTTGTTGTTAAACTGACTACAACTACCCATCGACGGAGTAATGAGTTTTACTGTCATGGTTTCTGCTAAAGAGCTCTCTAATCGTTTTTTCCCTGTTTATGAGTTCAGCGGGGATGGATTTTCCACCTACTCAGAGCGTCACACAAGCTCTAACACCGTAGTTCTGGTGACGATCCACATGGATGTCTGTAAAAATTGCAGCCGTGAAACGAACCCGCAACTATCTAAGCGTCAGGCAAACAGATTGACCAATTCGACACACACACCCTCAGATTTGCTAGAAAGAATGGATGTTTGCATAAACAAATTCAGGTAATTATATACATTTGTCATTTATAGACATCATTTATGAATAAGTAAAGGCTTTTCTGTCAACCATTTTGTGTTAGTACTATTATCTATATATCCATGTATTAACATTTTTTAAAAACTCAAATTATAATTTAAAAAAATGCAATTGCACTATTTGCATAAAACATAATTTACTTGCGAATTCTAAAAAATCTAGACCACATCTCGTGCAACTACAGAAGTCATTTTTACCGGTTGTTCATACTCTATATCACTTTCTTCATTCTCCTTTACAGCCAACAACTTGTAATTGCCGTATTTTTCTCTGCTCTCTAATTCTGTCATAGGTAGCTCAGAACCATCCCTGAAACGGCTGCCTTTATGTGTCCTGTAGCAGAGGGACATCACGGTCGCCATGATGACCAGAGTTATAAAGATGACTGCACAGTGCCAGCTGGAAGGGGAAAAACGAATATAAAATTACACTATACACTTACTTCCCTTCTATTTTGAATAATATTATCAAGTTAGTTGGGTATCCTTTACAGGACGTTGCAGAACCAACCCTAACAGCCCCTGGCTGTTGTGTGGTTTCTCTTGGCAAATTTACGTCCAGTAGTTTGCCATTGCACCTGGACGGTCGGCTTTCTTGTTACCACTGTCGAAACCAACGCAAGGCGCATTGTCCGCAACTGGGATCGAACCCGGCATCCCGGCATTTCGAAGCGAAGCGTTCGCATCGACTTAGCCACAGAGCCGACCAATAATATTATAGTGAAGTAAAAAACCAGTGTTATGCGATTGTCGCGAAGTTTGTTAGCTTTACAAGGGTGCTGACACGAAGACAACTATGAGGGAGAGGGAGGGATAGGGTGGGTGGAGGGATGGGAGTGGTTACACGTTTTCTTGGGAAGAAGAAGGATCGCTCAAGGGGTCAAAGCGTTGTTTGAGTGAATAATAATAATAATAATTATTTTTTTTTCTGCATTCACCTTTCAAAGAGCGGTTATTACGTTTCTTGTGGTTTACAGATAGGGTGCGTTATCTGTGCCGTTCCCCCTAACACAAATGAGGCAAAGCCCCTAATTAGTCCACCTCTGAGAAAGGCACGCTAAGGGGCAGTGGGTGTATTCCTCCCTACTCTCCCCCCCCTCCCTTTTCACGACGAAAAATAATCATAATCAATATGTGCTGAATTTCAAATAAATAATGTATAATATGTATGAAATATTATGAAATATAATTTGTAAACATGGGATTGCTGAGCTTTCTTACATTTGTTTTAGTAAGCGTTGGATTGGGGTGGTTAAGGGGGGATACTGATGCCCCTTATATGTAGCCCCTCCCCCTCCATGTTTTGAGACCCTGAACTGCCTAAGGATTCAGGTTCAGGGGCCAATAGTGCTAGTCCCATATTTATATATTCCCGATATACATCTTTATTGCTAGGACGTTTCCTAATACCCATTTGTTATGGAATTTAGTTGTTGACAAAGACTTGGGTCGGCACGTCTGATTATGTCTGTATTCGTCCCCATTCCCACCGGCTGAGCTTCCTATAGTTGATCTTTACGTTTTTGTTACTTGTCCACAGCGCTTTGATCATCACGGTTTAAAAAACAAAAATTATCCATGGCACTCTCGTCAAGTTTCTTATCTGTCCATGGCCGTTTTAACAACTATCTGTGTCGTGTACTTTCACTCAACTCTGACACAGACGATCCTCCACTCCATTATGTCAGACTGTCCAGCATTTTTTATCTCCATCTCCCTCTCCGTCTCTTCCCCTCAAACTTCCCCACTGTCACGATGTACTCCAATTTTCTTCTTCTCGTGCCATGAATAAAGAATATCGATTGTCCCTTTCTGATGTTGGTCATCAGTTCTCATCTGTACATACCTGAAGTAAACAGTGGCCAGCATGACGTCTGAAGGGCTGTTCAGATCCCATGCATGCTGCTGTCTCCATGTCCATACAAGATAATCCCCACGGCCCAGAACCAGCTTCCCTGAAGCATGACCAAGAAGGTACGTGACAAGGTCAGCATGGCCGACCTCTGGTATCTGAAAGTGTCCAGTGAAATTAGCTGTATTACAACTGATGTATTACATGCAACAAATGTATTACCACAGATGTATTACAATGGGTGTATTACAACAGATGTGTTATACATACAATGAATGTATTACCTGCAACAAATGTATTACATACAACAAATGTATTACCTACAAAAATGTATTACAGCAGATGTATTATGATAGATGTATTAGAAGAGATGTATTACACACAAAAGATGTACTACAATAGATGTATTGCAAAAGGTGTAATAGAAAATATGTAATACATACAACAAATTTACTGCAATAAATGTTTTACTGCAGATGTTTTACATACATTATGTGAGTTACAACAGATGTATTTCAACAAGAATATTGCAGCAGATATATTCCAGCAAGAGCATGACAGCAGATGTATTACAACAGATGTATTACATACAACAGATTTACTACATCTGATCACATACTTACGTATATTTACCTGGCTTCCAAAAGTATCACTACCACAGATAGAAAGACGACATATGCGAGCAGTACATGGATGTGAACGTCGAGGATCTCTCTCTCGTGTAAATGGTTGGTGAACAAAAAGCCCTCGATTAGAAATGCCAGCGCCAAGGCCACATAATCGGTTCCGGGAGGCAGGGGAAAGCCAAAGTGCATGCACAGGTCCACTGCACCAGATATAGCGAAGAAACTATACATTGTAGCGTGTTGTACTGAGGAGATGGAACAATGTTAGAACATATACACAAACTACATAGTTGAGTAATTCTACAAGAGTGTTAAAACCAGCCAAAAGGAAAGAGACCAAATCTTCTAAAGGACATCATTCAATTGATTCCAGACACGTAATTGACTAGGACGGTGCCTTCACCGTTTTTCACCACACACGGGACAGACGAATGCTGAGATTGGCCCACACTTTAACAGTGAAAGTGAACAACCCCGCTGTGTGTAAACAGAAGGCGTTCATTATAAAGTTTAAGTTACACAAGTCACGTGACTATCGTAACGTTCTGGTGATTAGACGAATAATGTATAGAGACAGACCATGTGATGCGTAGCTCGTTGGAATTGTGTGTGTGTTTCTGTATATGTTGATGTAACTATGTAGTAATTCACATGACAAGATACAGCGAAAAAAGCCAGGCAATGTATTTTGTGTGTCTGCATTATGCTAATTCACTACAGGAATTTTTTTTAACAGGAGGAAAAAAAAAAAGGCGAGGGGGGTGTGATGTAAGAACATTTAAAAGAAAAAAATTTTCCGCATCGGAAATATGACAATAAACTCATATTATTTATATACCAGTCGGACTTGGATAAGTGATGTAGTTAACATTATGGCGACCGTCTTTACTTCCTAGCATCTTGTTGGGCTGTGTCGACTTGGGAGAAAAGTCAATTTAGACGACAAAATCCGCCACGTTTAGGATTTGAACTCTAGCCCTTCGAGCCTGTAGGTGTACGTCTAGCCATTAGGCTACCACAGCTCTCAAGTAGTATAATGGCTAGAATTGTATACTTTTACCGCGGTTTCCGAGGCTCACTGTTGTTGTTGTTGTGTGGGTATGCACAGTGTGGCGTCGATTGTGATGACATAAGACAACATAAAATTCCAAACACAGTTTCCTGGTTAACTATTAGCTAGCTGGTTCGTTGTTCAACTGATTATCTTCACCGCATATCGAGCCATTGATTTAATTTAATAATAGAAAAAAAAAAAAAAAAAAAACTAGGATTCTCTTATAAGCATATTTATCAGCTTGCGGCAACTTAATGTTTCAACTTAAACTCCTCCATAATCATGTCGTGTTTCACATCTGTGAATATTCATAAAAAGGTCAAAGTTGAAGGTTTCAGTAGAGAAGATCGATTCCATTTGCACCAGGTTTTATCCTAGATGGTGCGGTCTCTCTCCGCAGAAAGTGGTTCACTTTTACGACATGCTTATTGCTGTGGAAAAAGGGGGGGGGGGTACGTGCGGGCGCGGTGAGTCTACTCTGCCCCCCCCCCCCTCCCCTTCCCCACAGGGGACCACGGTAATGAGACATTTATTTACAAGTTAGCCTTCCTTGTTAGCTTCCAGGGAGATGGCATAGTCTGGAAAAACGACAACACACAATAGCAGGAAAGAAAAAAATTTAACATTAAAGTTGTTCTTAACTGCCTGCTTGCAGAGCCGTCCTTACGTATAGGCCCATGATACACTTGCCTAGCAGCCCCACGATTATAGGAGAACCATTCTCATCTGTATATGTAAAGTGACTTGCCATAAATAAGAAATTTAATTCCTATGAATGGTTGTGGTAGGGTCCCCTCCATTATAGTTTGCCTAGGGGCTCATAATGGTGTTAAGACGGCTCGGTTTGTTTGTACCGCCATTTCTAAAGTTTGATCTAGGACTTTGGAATGGGGTAATCTTGAGTCTATGGCTAGTACAGTCTTAGGAGTTTACTTTTGCCTCTGACATGAGGGGGGGGGGGCATCACTCAACCGAGCAGTTGAACCTATGCCTCTCGTACGAAATCTCTGCGTTCTTAACAACCGAACCAGCCGTTCTTCTGAAAGAATACAAGAAAAGACGAATACTTACCAATACCCGCGCTGGGAGATGGCAAGTTGCAGAATATTTCTCCAAACAGTCCACCTGATGATATGACAATCTCAGCGACAGCCTCTACTGGCCATGTCTCAGTGTTGCCACAAGAGAAAGGGCAGGGGAAGGTAGCCGTTGACAGATACTGTTGGCCTCTTTTACGACATAAGAAGTATCTTCTGATGCTGCCCACTGCCCACCAAAGTCCGTACAGCAAGAAGGCAGTTCCTGGCACAATGTGTCCTTTGAGATCTCCCATGGTGGCAGGCGACTGAACTGGTTTAAAAGAATGTGGACATAATATCAGGGGCACTGGTGACCTTTTTACCAATATTAGAATTACGAGTTAACACACCCGTGCTTTGTTTGCTCAAGAAAATATAAAGACGCTGGTATTAACCACGAAGTGCCTATTACATAACCCATCTTGACCAAAATATTGGAAAAGAAAGATGCCAGTACTGGCAGAATTAGGCTGAAGACATTCTAGACACGTCTATATGAGATATATATATATATTCTCCCCTCTCTCTCTTTCTCTTTCTCCCTCTCTCTAACAACTTTTCCCTGATTCCCCTGAATTTACAGCCATTAAAAGATAAGAAAAAGAAGAGGAAGCAATAACTGTTCTTTGTTCTTACACTCGACGATGACTGTGAATGTTAAGTTAGTTGCGTATCCTTTACAGGACGTTGCAGAGCCAACCCCAGCATATTTTTTTGGGCTGTTGTAGTTTTCCTAGGCAAGTTTACATGACTGTGAATGTAACAGGTAAAATTATCCATCACATTCGATGTATAGATATTTTCTGGTTCTCTGTGTGGTTTAAAGCTATCACTTCCAAGGCCAGTAACAGAAATAGTAACAGAATAGTTGCAGTTATTACCCTTTCACAAATGTCAGCTTACTTCTGACGAAGAAGCAAAGAATATATTGTTTAAAAACTATATTCTATTTAAATGCGAAACAGCCAAGGTTGTCTCTTTCACTGAATAAATACGTAGCTATATACCGCCGAAAACCCGTTGTTTAACAAAAATCTTACTGTTCGCATCTTAATTATTGTACATTTTTTCAACGTTTTTTTTTTTTAAAACTTAAAGCTCACATTTTAATGATTCCATAACAACACGTTTATAATCAGGTGTTTCGTACTTGTTAGGACGAAATTGTTTGAAGCCTCACCCTGGCTTTTGTAAGGGGCCGCAATATAGACAGGCCATAAATATGGCCAATTGTCTGAACGCGGTTTCTGGGACCTCTCCACGGCGATCCTCATCCACATGGTGGCACTTTGTGTCATCGGGTGTTTATCGCTTGGGTGATGTCCTGGTGGGGTATAAAGTCAGTCAGTCAGTCAACAACACGTTAATCCTGTCATCCCCTTGTGGGATGCAATTTTTCGTTATTTGAAGCCCTACTCTGGCTCTTTCCAGGGGCCGCAATATAGCCAGATCATAAATATGGTCTAATGGCTGAACGCGGTTTCTGGGACCTCTCCACGGGTGATCCTCATCCGTATGGTGTCACTTTGTGTCATCAGGTGTTTATCGCTTGTGTGATGTCCTGGTGGGATAAAAGAAGATAAAAAAGAGAACAACACGTCTAGTTAGCTCACTAGCTATTATATAATTGATTCGTGGGATTACATTTTTTATAAGTATGAAGCCCCACCCTGGCTTTTACAGGGGGCCCTGAATATAGCTGGGCCATAAATATTGCCTAGCCATTGATATGGCCTAACGGCAGAAAGGGGTTTCTGGGACCTTTCCACGGTGATCTTCATCCGCATGGTGGAACTTTGTGACACCGGTGTTTATCGCTTGTGTGATGTCCTGGTGGGGTACAACTTATCTACCTACCTCACTAGCTACTGTTCGCACAACTTGTTTTAAAAACCGTCCTACCCTGTCCGGATCAGGATACTTTGTACAATCGGGAATCCCCAATCCCCTTGCGGGTAAAGGGGGTATTTAAGATTTGTCCCTGGAGGATTTTCATCCGAATAATGGTACTTTGCGCCACTGGTACAAATCATCAGTGTAGGGTTCAACGTCACTCACTCATTCATTCACACAAGCTACTGTTGACCTCTCCACCTATGACAATCAGCTGCACTGTTGATATGTTGAGACCTGCCTACTTTGCCAAATTCTGTATCCAGTTCGCTTTTGGTCTGCCTCTTCCGTCT